ATTGAGTTAATTGAGAAAACGAAACATTGAAAATTGAAATTAAATTGATAAAAATTCTTTTTAAAAAATGGATTCTATCCCCAACTATTTGGATCCTTTTTCCAAGTAAATTAATTAAATTATTATTTGTTCAATGATTTAAGAGTCACGAGTCATTAAAGTTGAAATTGATGAAAAATTGTAAAACATAATGATTTTCATCCGTCACTATTTGGATAATTTTCCAAGAAAACTCATTTATTTATCATTTGTTTAATGACTTCAATGTCCGGAATCATTAAAAATTGACATTAAAATCAGTTTCATCATCAATATTTCAATCAATCCAAAATTACGAATCATTAAAACTTTCAATTGAACCCGCTAAACCTCTTTTATCAAAGAACAATAGACCCTAAAGAAATCAAATAACTTAATCATCAATATATCAATGAATTCGAAAGTCACGACCCCTCAAAGCTTGAAGTCAATATTCTTAACGATAAAAAAAAACAACAATGGCTTGACCAACCGTTTTCCCGGTCACGTGCCATCTAAACGCCCTCATCAGCCTCGTGTACCACCTCAGTATCATAAAAATTCACCCCTCTCAACACCTCATAAATTAATTAGCACTGATGCAAAGAAAAGGGGCGATTGCAAACGCAATGCGAAAAGATGCAAGATACCCGAATGCAAATGAGTGTCGCGCGGAGGCCGTTCTGCACCCTCAAAAATTGAAATTAAACCAGACAAATCGACTCGAGTCATTAACTCCCCGAGAATTAAAAAAAAAACTGTAGCGAAAAGGATTGTTATTCCTCCCAGTAATCTTGATCCTCTGGACACGCATGTGCACTCTCCATGCAAACGACTCATTCAGCCTTCCCCTTTCACTTTCAGTCAAGACCAATTTGTTTCATTCGCCCAGTGCCAATGGAAATGCCAGAAATCAATACCGGAAGTTGCTGTTGTTCTGATTTGTTAAACAAGACGTGGCCATTGCGCAAGAGTAACAATTTGTTATCCGTTGCACAATGCAACTCCTCCACTGGTATTTCCTCATTACTCGTAATATTTTTTTTTTCTTTATTCATGCAGTCGTCCTCCTTCATGCCTCGAGAGGCCTCTGCACGTACTGGCTTCCTCAGGCCAACTCTCTCTTTTGCTAATGGATAATACGAATGCACAGCGTCAAGAATACTACAGACTCGCATCCACCCACACAATCGTGGAGTCTATTATGTAGGTCAGGAGGAATTTATCTTCTAATGTATTTACAGAGCGTTGGAGTTATCGGCGCGGTGNGGGGGGGGGGGGGGGGGGGGGGGGGGGGGGGGGGGGGGGGGGGGGGGGGGGGGGGGGGGGGGGGGGGGGGGGGGGGGGGGGGGGGGGGGGGGGCTGGAATGGCTTTTTATCGCGTGGACCCGGTTTATGGCGGGCTTTATCAATTTTTTGGAATTATTTTTGATGGAGAGGAGTGATTTTTTTCTCAGGAAGAAATTTCGGAATTCGTGGCATTGTGGGGTTATTTGGGTGGTGAGTGGGTTTTAAGGGTGCCAAGTGAATTTGAAAAAAGATTCAAAAAATTTTTTTTCTTTCCCTCCATCATTGGAGAAATATGTATTCATCCATCCGACGAAATTTCAAACCCGCAACCGGAACTAGACATCGAGAAAATAAATGCGGAAAATCCTCTATTTCGCGTGACGAATCTCGAGAAAGCATGGGATCAAATGGGTACGGCGGGTTGAAATATCTCTCTTATTCACTTCGGTAACCCATTGTTTTTTATCGCCATCACATTGAACATATCATTCCCCATATCTTCAAATTTTTTCAAATTTTTCTTGAGTTCCTAGGGGGTTGAAACGTTCAATTTAATCAAAACTCCATAAGAGGCCGTGTAAAAGACTGATTTTGTTTATTTAATTTCTCGATATCCATAAGTTCTAAAATTTAAAAATTGTCACCGATGTTCACCATCTGTCTAATACTATTAATTTAAAAAATTATAACTTTGTTGGTGAATGTCAATTTTCAAGGTCATCGCCAAATTCACTTGGCACCCTTAAGGTTGACAATTTTTTTATTGAAGTTTTCGGGGCACTTGTTGGATATTTATCACTTCCACTTAATACTTCAAACGGGAATTTTGAGAATTTTCGTGAAGAATCAAAGGTAATTGTACATTTCAGCTGGATTATTCTATGAAAATTAAAATAAATCTGGAAAATTCAAGTGAAGATATTCTGGATTTTTCAATCATTTTAAAATTTTGCGTGATTTAATACTAAATAGAGAAAGTTGTAATTATCGGTAGAGGGAAGTGATGACTGGAATTGCTTTTTATCGCGTGGACCTGGTTTATCGTGGGCTTTATCAGTTTTTCGGAATTTTTTTTTATGGAGAGAGGTAATTTTTGTCAGGCAGGAAATTACGCAATTCGTAGAATTCGTGGGATTATTTAGGTGATGAGTGGGTTTCACTGTTGAAATTTTGTAAATTTGAATTTCCGGTACACTTCTTGAGAAATTTATCAATTTACTTCCTCCACTTCAGTTTTAAGAATTTTACTGATAAATTGGTGGAAACTGGAAATTTCAGTTGGATGATTACATGAAAATTGGTTGTAGGAAAAATATTCCCCAAAAAACTTTAAAAACCAGTCCCAAAATAGATGAAAATACAAAATTGTAAGTATGAATAATTTTTTTACGATTCCGAACAAATGATTTTTGTGGTGGAAAATTGTTTATAAATTATTTTTCGAAGATGCTCCAAATTTATGAAAAATTGTACTTTTCAAATTATTTCATCAATCTTCCCCCAAAAGTAGACTTTACAATTTCGTTATAGGGATAATTTAACATTGAATAAAAATTTTACACAAGACTCCCAACAATTTTGTTAATTCTCCGTGGAAGTAATTACCATTTCCATCGTCAGTGAAAACAAAATAGAACGCCCGGTATCCCTCCAACTATAAATATCTAAGTTCAACGTCCATCAGAGCCTCACCCCACTTCCGGGTCAAGACTGCACTCTCTCTCTCTCTCTCTCTCTATTATAAAAAAACGTCTGCCCTCTCTGTTGCATCAATACGAATGGAACCATTTCGCAACTAAGCAGTTTCACCCATTCCCACCAAACAGACTCCTCGGAGTCACTGACATTTACTTCCTAGGGTCATGCGGTGAGTCATCTGATTCAAGCCATCGAACCGATAAAAATGAGGGAATATAGTTCATAGTGCGATGAATGAAGGATGAGTGGATGCACTTTTATTTGGGGATGTGAATAAAAATTCGTTAATTACAACGGAGAAAAAAAGATAAAAATAAAGATAAAAATTATAGTCGCGTAGAAGTCTTTGGCTATTCAGCTAGACATTTAGAAGTCTTGGATTCTCAATTCTTGTTTCAATTCCGACAAATTATCAATAACTGAAGATAGGGGCTGAGTGAGCGGCACTGGTCGCATGCAGCTAATACCGCTCAGTCTGATTCCTATATCGCTCAGTACCTAACCGCTAGTCAATAGCTGTTAAAATAATAAAATCTCCGATGTTGGATGACTCAATGAAATTAATGGAATTCAGATTTTATTTGATAAATTGAAATGCACAAGAACAAAATGATATTGTGAAAATGTGAGAATGGTACTTCAATCATTATTCCATGTTTTTTTTTGAGGGAATAATAATAAAATATTACGGCTCTATTTCGTTTGAACAATTTATTCTCTTTTAGAATAAGTTATACATTTGAATATTTATTCGTTATAACCATCCAAAGGAGTCACCAAACCTCTCGAACAGTGCATTGACGGATTATATAGAATGTCACAGCCATTGTCATTTTCAAATTCTTCTTTCATGATCCGAAAATATTTCTTAATAGTACATTACGGCTGCGCCGCCGTCGTGAGTAACCGCCTGCTGTCCGCACGTGTTGCGTATACTATTTTATATGATAAGTGCGTGATGAAGTTTGGGGGGGGGGGGGGGGGGGCTTCGCCCCCTTTCATCAAGCAGGGGGGGGGCTTCGCCCCCCAGGCACATTCCATAATTATTAATTAAAAGATGAAAAAACTAAATTTCGGTGTTAAATAATGTGAAAAAGAATTACAAAGTGATTGATCATAATTTTATGCGATGATAATGCTATTATCATAGTGAAAAATCTTACGCACTGGTTCCGAAAAATTACATCGTAAAGCCCTGAAAATTCTGAGGTGCATATTGATCAATTTTGAATCCACGTTGACTCAAAACTGCAGCTTGTGCACGAGTTGATAACAATCGGTGAATTTGTCGTGTACTTAAACAATGGGGTAAGAGTATGTAATTGAAGGTAAGAGTTATGTGGCCATTGAAGTTGGCCCACCTTTCTTCTGGCAAATGCAAATCCCATCAGCTGAGCAACACCCGTTCCGCTTGTCACGGCCTCCTTTACTCCCCTCAAGGCTGCACATCTTTTATATGCAGTTGTACCCAATGCACATTGCAGAAGGCTTCCCCCTTCCTTCCTTTTAACACATTTATCAAGAGCAAACGTGTGCCAGTGTGACGTGCCTGGTTAAAACCCGGACGAGGTCATGATTGTGCAATTCTTACGTGTTACCGAGGTTTATAATTTTATTCCACTTCCGGAAAGTTAAATAAACGGCAAATGCTGGTCGTTTTTAGGATATTTGAAGGACACGGTATCAAAGATGTTGTCCTTGAGGTGAATTGTTTTGCGTTATTTTTAGAAAACTAATTGATTAACACGGAGTTAATCACGACATGTTTGTTAATTACGTGATTATCTTGGGAATGAATAGTTTTAGAGAGAAATGTCAGAAAACAACTTCTGTAGATCTTTAAATTTCCAACAAAAAATATCTTTTGAAATTTTCTCTCAAAAATGCTCATTAACGAGGAAAATCCAATTCAATCTAAAAAAAAAGTAAATAAGAATTCGTTTTATGACACCAAATGTCAAATCTAATTTTGCGTTAATTCATTGCTGTTTCAGGGCTATAAAATCCTTTCAACAAGTACTATGGGTGGATCCAGGATTTCCCCGCGCCTGCGAAGTGCATTTTCGCCTCGGTTTTATGCTCAAAGTCCATGCTGACTTTGAAGCAGCATTAAAACACTTGACGTTAGCGCTCATCGACGCCAGTACACCGGCCTCGTTTTCAAAGCTCGAGAGTAAGTACTCAAAGGAATTAAATTGGGGAAATTCTCCAAATAGCATATAATATTCACACTGTTAGGAGACAACAGCTTAACAATAATTTTCACGCGACTGACAGCAAGTTATGGGGCGGAGGGGTAATCATGAAATTTTAAAGTTCACAGTGAGTTAAATGGAATTTTTTAATGGAAGTTTCGAGCTGGAGGAGTATTTTACCAATTTTTTTACATGTAAAAAAACAAGTAATTTACCAAGAAGGTTTTAAACCTTTTTTACCGCGCGTGTGCGTGGTTGACAACAACACAGTTGTTCTGGCGCGAGAACAACCCCATTGACAGGTTTGCAAGGGTCATGCCTCACAAGGGTCAAACATCGCAATGGTCGTACCTCGCGAGGATCAAACATCGCAAGGGTTATACCTCGCGAGGGTCAAATGTTGTAACGGTTAAACAACAGAGATAGGCAGAGGACAGTAAGTAATTTACCAAGAAGGTTTTAGATCTTTTTGACCGCGTGTGTGCGTGGTTGACAACAACACAGTTGTTCTGGCGCGAGAACAACCCCGTTGACAGGTTTGCAAGGGTCAAACATCGCAATGGTCGTACCTCGCGAGGATCAAACATCGCAAGGGTTATACCTCGCGAAGGTCAAACGTTGTAACGGTTAAACAACAGAGATAGGCAGAGGACAGTAAGTAATTTACCAAGAAGGTTTTAGACCTTTTTGACCGCGTGTGTGCGTGGTTGACAACAACACAGTTGTTCTGGCGCGAGAACAACCCCGTTGACAGGTTTGCAAGGGTCATGCCTCACAAGGGTCAAACATCGCAATGGTCGTACCTCGCGAGGATCAAACATCGCAAGGGTTATACCTCGCGAAGGTCAAACGTTGTAACGGTTAAACAACAGAGGTAGGCAGAGGACAGTAAGTAATTTACCAAGAAGGTTTTAGACCTTTTTGACCGCGTGTGTGCGTGGTGGACAACAACACAGTTGTTTTGGCGCGAGAACAACCCGGTTGACAGGTTTGCAAGGGTCATGCCTCACAAGGGTCAAACATCGCAATGGTCGTACCTCGCGAGGATCAAACATCGCAAGGGTTATACCTCGCGAGGGT